ATAAATTCACCCGCGATCTATTCACCGGTGACCGATTCACCGGCGATCAATTCACCGGATACCTCAGGTTTAGTTAATAAATTTAAAAAATTACAAAGAAATTTTTTGCGTTTATATGCTTTTAAAACTAATTACTCGTATAATAACTCTGTTGAGATTGCGAGCTCTGTGGGTTTGAGGTCACTTAAAACTCGAAGATCAGTATATGATATCACGTTTATGTATAAAATCTTGAATGGTATTATCGACTGTCCTGAGTTATTACAAAAAGTCGGCCTTATAGTACCCTCTTTTAATTCAAGATTTAACCCACCCTTTTCTATTCCTCATTCAAATAAAAATTATATTATTAATAGTCTGGTGTGCCGCCTACCAACATCATGTAACTTATTACATAATTTTGATTATTTTTTTGACTCCTGTACAAAGCTAAAAATTATTTTTATAATTTAATTGTTGATGGTTAACATGTTATGTACTTTATTTAATTTGGTTAAATTGTTTTTTCTTTAATAATAATAATAATTATTATTATTATTATTATTTGTAGTAGTAGTAATTTATATTCAATTGTTAATTTAGCGATAATTTTAGTCATACTTTCTGTACTCTTACCATTTGGGGTGTTAAAATATTAATTATTATTATTATTATTTCAAAAAGTATTCAAATATCAAAATGTTATAATAGTTATAACATTGGAACAAGTCTAGTTTAGCGGTCACTCAAATTTTTTGATTTTTTTTTCGGAAACCTATGTATTTTAACGAGTATTAAACGATGGTGTAAAAATAAATTTGCGGAAACCATTAGTTTTGAAATTATAATATATAATTTACGCTACATATTAAACACAATATTTTAAACACTCATGGTAAACAAAATTGGCAATCATCGAGTTTGTTATTATGTATTGATTCATYATCATTTATCATCAGAATTTTGATGATCTAAAAAATAATAATATTTCTATATTCTCAAGTAAATAATATTTTTGTGTATATTACTATTATTTTCATTCAAATCAGTTTTAGAATCATCATTGAGTTTGSTTGGCATAATTGCATTTCCATTACTAGACTCTATTCAAAATAAGACCGTGAYCCGGCGGTGGTCAGACTCCATTCATGACTGAGGCTCTGGTGGCTACCTTTAGAACAAAAGCCACGCCCATGCGCACAACTCGGCCGCCTGGTCACGGTCTTATTTTGAATAGAGTATAGCATTGATCAWGGTGTTAAAATATAATGAAAAATTACACAGTTCGCTTTTTACTTCTTCAAATTGTAATTTAGTTTTTACACAAAGGAATTCGAGTGCACCTTCTAGGATAATAATATAATATTTGTTTAAAACAAAATAATGGTTAGAACCTACATAGTTRTAAAATATAATTCTAAAATTATATGTATTATTAATAATTATTAATTTATTATATAAGATCTAACAGTAAGTATTTAGAACTATTTTTAGATGGGTATAAAGGTATTTTAATTATCATAATTTTATCCAAGGCTGGTCAATTTTATGACATTTTTTAACTCATTTAAGTTAACTTAAAATTAATTTAATTTCTAACTTATTAACTTATTTATACTCAGCCTTGATTTTTTCTAACTTTTAGAAAAATTTATAAATTAATATTCTGTTAATATGATCCAATATTATTAATGATAATATGGAGTCAATTTATTGAAATATCTTGTGTGGAATCCACTTCTAGAGAAAATTGACCAGCGGATTTTATCTCCTTAGAAATAGAATGTTGAATCTCCTGGCCAATTATTTGAATAATTTTATTAACAGTTGACTTCGACATAAAACTAACCAATCTACCTCATCCACGACTTTAAGATTTTTTTTGTCTTTTTTTAATCATATTTTCAATGTGGCATTTTAAAATTGGATCATATGATAGCCACAAGTTGAACTGTTGCTAAAAAATTACTGTGATTAAACTTTGTTTTATCATTAAGATCACYAATAGATTCATAGACATGTCCACGAAAAGCCAAGTTTTGTTTAGCAAGAACAATCATTATGTTTATTATTCTATCAAGAACCAGATGGTTTTTTTAGATTTCTTTATTATGAAGATTTTCAAGAATGACATCTATATTGTTGTTAGTACATRCCGGATTACATGCTCTTAAACAAATTTCACACTCAGATTTATGTATTGCTTTGTTTTCATTCTTTTGAACTTTTATATAAATGTTCTTAATATTAACTACTACACCATTAACAAATGCAATTGATAAATCGACTGAAAATGCTATGCAAGTACTACAATATATTTTGTTAGTAAAAGCACGATATGAAATCCATTTTCTTTCAACAATATCATAATTTGACATTTTTCGAAAATAAATGTTTCTGGGATCAAACCTAACTTTGGAATTATTTTCCACAATTGGTTGAATAGGATGGTGATCTAAAAATTTTAATTTAGCTACTATGCTGTCATTTTTATTTGGAGGTGCAAATACAAAAGCATCAAAATTGTCTTCAAAATCAACTTTAATATCATTTTCATGTTTTACTGAAATATCTACAAATTTTAATTCAGAATCAGAATCAATGTTATTAGTCAATGTGTTTGGTGTTGAAAATGAGAAAAAGAGTGAAATAGGTTGTAAAGGTTCTAAACAATTTTTAAATTCCTCATTAACTTTTTCTTTTCCAACTTCGATGATTAGTTTATTGTCTTCATTTATTGCTTTAGATATGCATGGTATTSAATGAAATAATGCAATAGGTTCTACATTTGATACAGATATCTCATAAATTATTTCTTTTTCATCCTTTCGATTTTCATAATTTAAGAACTCATCATGATCAACATTTTTAGAATAAGATGAGTACTGTTCTGTATTAGAAAATGCAATACTAACTGATGGTACAGATAAATTAAAACATAATTTCTTTTGATTTTTGATTTTTGTCATTTGCAGCTAATATTAATAGGTAACTTATTTTCTTTAATTTTTTTATTTTGGCTACCGCTATTCAATTTCTTCCCCATATTTATAATTGTGTCAAGTAATCTGATTTTAAAAATAAGGCATTGAAAACAAAGTATTTATCCAATTTATATGAACACAACACACACACATGTAGAAAACAAGTAACAAACAAATAGTGTGATGTGTGTTCAAAACTTAAAGAACTAATTAAAATTTATTACAATATTAAACATAAATACATACCTAATGCAATACCATACATACCTGTAGCATCCAAGCATCCCAGCCAGTCCGCGCCTGGTATTAGTTGACCACTTGACCATATTATGTGTATTTTAATATCCATTCCAGGAGTTACCACTACCTAATCAGTTGTGAGCCAATTGCCTCTAAGTACTTACAGCAATTCATTATAATACATACATTTAATTAAAACAGTAACACTCTTCAATTTCTATGTTATTTGTTAGCTATATATAAGGTATAATTTTTAATTTTATCTGAAAAAAGTAGCTAATTTTCAACACACAAATGGTTCACGAACAATTAATTGTTGAAATGCCTGAATCTAACCTTGTATAATGTAAGTAAATAGTATTATGATTGCGTAGGATAGCATACTACATAAGCATTTATCATGTAGATAACATACGATACCACTATCCATATTATTAAGTTCACTAATTATTTTATTCATTGCCATTTTACTTTATTTTTATTAATTATATCTCTAGTAATATTATATTTACATGCATTTTTTATCACACTTAAGTTGTGTAAAAGAATTTTTAGAATATTAATYATATCAATTAAGGGTGTATTAAATTTTTTCAAACATTTGACAGCCATAAATTATTTTAAATAAAAATTAAATGTTTTTTTACTATATAGGTKTATCATGATTTTTGCATTTTTAAAATCCTAAAAATTGTTTCAATTAAATACAGTGTATTCCTCTTGCCAAGTTCCCCACCTAGTGAGTACAGATTCTGAAGATAATGATTGGGCAATATTCCTTACATATCTGGGTATATTATAGCGCTTTTTAAAATACTTTTTATGTTATAGGTAAATTTGTGCATTTTTAGAAACATGCGATATAAACAACATAACACAAATTAAATTAGATTAGAAAACTTGAAGTGTATCACTGATTTTTGTCATGTCTGCACACAAATAACATTAACAGCACTTTTTTAACATTTCCACCCAAAGACCATAATAATTTTAGTCCATCATTGATAAACCATGCAACTGTGGAATGATAAGTTTTTTTCCAAAATCATAGATCAGGAAATATTGTATTTTAATTTGCAAATATTTACTATGCAAATACACATAGTCAAGGGATGTCAGACCTATTAAGAATTTGTATGTAAAGCTTAAGCAGCTTCTCAATATCTTAAGACTTTTTTCAGTGTTAGTTTTATCCTTACGAAAAAAAAAATTATTATTATTTAAACCGTGGAAAATTTGAGCAAGTTTTTGGTTTAGTACTATTACGAAAATAAGGTTACAGTCATAAGCTAAGGTTGAATTAAGAAATTGTATGGCATGCGAGAGTTCTATTCATTATTGATCATGTATTTTGTTGAGCTTATTGGCAGGAACGGTCAACGCTTAATTCCATAGCTTAGTTTTGTTCACTTGATTTACTTGAGCAGTCAATCTACACATATTTTCAACTGCTATTTCATTTCTGCGAGAAATTCGCAACCGTTTTGATGTAGCAGACTGCCGAGAAAGCTGAGTTCTTTTTCTAGGTATAATGCAAACGTTGAATGAACTAGCAACATTATACCCAATAGAAAATTATTACAAAATCAAATAATGTACTGTTTAAATCAAATTGTGTTTGGAAAACAACTTAAATAAAATCAATAATACAAATATGAATGCGTCATATTAATATTATTTTGTTGCCTATATAGTAATTTTACTTAAAAACTATATTTTTTACTCTTTCATTCTTTGCAGAGCATAGTTTTAAACTTTTTTTTTTTTGAAAATAGTGCAAGAAGTTTAGACCATCGAAACTGTTTCGAATTCGAGACACTCCGTACAATAACACTACTGAAGTGTCACTGCGTCATAGAATTTCCAAAACACGGAATTAATTTTACGGCTTTTTAAGTAGCAAATTCATAAATTCTTAAGTTCCGACTTAACCTGTGGACTTACTAAAAATGTTATATAGGCTATAGCATTCCTCRAAAAAAGGACAATTCAACAAAAAAAAWTTTTAATTTGTACCAGTGGTTCTTGAGATTAGCCCATTCAAACTTTTTTAACCCTTTTGGCTTTATAATATTAAGTTTGGATTAAATTAATAATAATACTTATACTAAAGTAGGTTCTTACATAACATGCTTTTTAAATATTAATTTAACATTTACTAGTCAATACAATTAACAATTTAATAATTTATTATTTTTACTAGCGGYTGTGATCTATTCTGAAGATATCCTAGTCATCCATAATTTGAATAAACTAATAACTACATAATAATCATATATTATAGAAATTTTAATTAATTAAAATTATTTCCAGGTTATATGGTAATCATACTGAAGAAATAAATGATTTTCTTCTGGTAAAAAAATAGAAACTAATATGGATTTAAATTCATTGGAAGATCCTCACAATTCTACTTGTTACATAAGTAGTCAATTAAATGTTAACAATAGCACAAATGATATAAAAGTTGACAAATTAAATGAATCACCTTCAACTGAAGTACAAGAACAAAGCAAAACTGAACAATTTAAAATTGTTGAAATATCTGAACATCTGMCAGTGGAGCAAATTATTGCAACTGCTTCCATTATAAATGCAGCATCCAAAATAAATGAAAAAACTGTAGATCCTCACAACATAAGTAGTTCATTGGATAACAAAAGTAGTAAAAGTGGTGTAGGAGTTACCAGATTAAATGAATCTTCTTTAACTAAAGTACAAGCACAAAAAAAAACTGAAAATGTTAATATTGTTGAAATATCTAAACAACAAATGCCAATAAAGCATGTTATTCCAACTGCTTCCATTATAAATGTCGCACCTAAAATAAATGAAAAAACTGTAGATCCTCAAAACATAAGTATTTCATTTAATAATAACAGTAGCACAAGTGGTAAAGAAGTTACCAAATTAAATGAATCTACTTTAACTAAAGTTCAAGAACAAAAAATAACTGAAAATGTTAAAATTGTTGAAATATCTAGACAACACRTGCCAATAAAGCATGTTATTCCAACTGCTTCTAAAATAAATGAAAAATACATAAATCCTCAAAACATAAGTATTTCAATTGATAACAACAGTAGTAAAAGTGGTATAGGAGTTATCAAATTAAATGAATTTTCTTCAGCTAAAGTACAAGAACAAAAAAAAACTGAAAATGTTAAAATTGTTGAAGTATCTAAACAACAAATGCCAATAAAGCATGTTATTCCAACTGCTTCCATTATAAATGTCGCACCTAAAATAAATGAAAAAACTGTAGATCCTCACAACATAAGTAGTTCATTGGATAACAAAAGTAATACAAGTGGTATAGGAGTTACCAAATTAAATGAATCTTCTTCAGCTAAGGTACAAGAACAAAAAAAAACTGAAAATGTTAGAATTGTTGAAATATCTAAACAACAACAGGTGCCAGTAAAGCAAATTATTGCAACTGCTTCTATAATAAATTCACCTAAAGTAAATGAAAAAAATATAGATGCTCGAAACAAAAATAGTTCATTGAATAACAGGAGTGGTATAGAATTAACTAAATTAAATGAATTTACTTTAACTAAAGTACAAGAACAAAAGAAAACTGATAATGTTAAAATTGTTGATAATAATAATGTTGAAATATCTAAACAACGGGGGGTGCCATTAACAAAAATGATTGCAACTACTTTTCTTATAAATGCACCTAAGAAAAATGAAAACAATATAGATCCTCATAATTCCCATCGTGACTTAGGCAGTTTATTGAACAATAACAATAGTACTCATGGTATAGAAATCACCAAATTAAATAAATTGAATTCAAATAATGTACAAGAGCAAAACAAAACGGTACATTTTAAAACTGTTGATAAAAATGATATTAAAATATCTAACCAACAAATGCCGTTAAAGAAAATGATTGCAACTACATTCGTATTAAACGCACCTAAAAAAAATGAAAATAATGTATATTTAAGACCTAACAATTTTCCTTTAAATTTAGAAAAAATCGCTGTTCCAAAAACAGTTCTTTCTAATATCAAATTAATTCCTCCAACTTCGTCTAGCCAAATTCAAAAACCATCAACAATATCTTTAATGCCCGCAACTACACTCATCAATCCAAAAACTACAATTATTACAAGGTTACAACCCAAGTTATATCCTGGTGAAATAACTAATAATAAAAATGTTCCAACATTGAAACCTGGGTTCAAAATAATATCTTCAAATGACCCAAATTCTAAAATGTTTATACTTCCGCAAGGAGTTAATTATGTAATAAAAACATTAAATAAAGAAGAAGTCAAAAACCAATCATTACCAARTTTTAGTTCTCCGCCAACTATATTAAAACCAGTAAATTCTATAATACCAATAACGGTTGCTGAAAAATTTAATACAATCGAAAAACCAAAAACACAAAATGAGAATTCAAAATTTGTTATTCGCTGGAAAGAATTTCAGAATCAAAGATACGAAGCTCTACCAAATGATGAAAACATGACTAATAAAGATGTCAAACATTTATTCAAATCAAACACACATTTTGAATTACTATTTCCATGTTCATCAAAGGCATTTGTTAGAAATCAGAAAAGAAGACTTAAACCTCATACAGATACACCAAAGTCTAAAWTAATTAAAATCGCAGATACTTCAGAATCTTACCATGTTCAACCAAAAATAACATTCAAAACATCAGCATTAAATGAAATTAAAAATTCAATGGATTTTTGTGGTACTAGTGAAGAGAAAAAATGTATACCCCATACTATTACAAGTAAAGATGTAATTGATAATCATACAAACGTGGCTATTGAAAATAATAAGTCCAAATTAAATACTGGTGTCATGAAAAAGTTTTGCCCTTCGTCTGGATTTATTCAAATGTCATCAACACCTGAATCTTCAACACTCAAAACATATAGTCAATCAATAACTGTTAAAAAATATGGTTTGTATAGATTTAAAATTATTATASTTTATCTTCTATCAACTAATTTTATTTGATTAATAATTACAGGTAATTTTTCTAAAAATGAATTAAGCACTGTAAGATTGGTACCTTTAAGTGCAATTAATCAAACACAAACAAAAGGAGATGGTAAACAATTATTTATAAAAATTTTGAAGAATAATGGTAGTACTCCCAATGGTAATATTGCTAAAGTTTCTACTGATAAAATAATGAAAGTAATTCCCACCAAAGTTTATGCGCCACAAGTAAGGAGTATCATATTTTTTAATGAAAATAGTACTCATAAAGGTTTTTTTCAGAATCCAAAGATTAATGTAGCAGCTAAAGAAAATCTAAAGAAAATTCCATTGTCAAAACCAAATACCATGAAAATTCCATTGTCAAAACCAATTACCATGAAAATACCACTGTCAAAACCAAATACCGTCAAATTTCTTTTGCCAAAAGAAATTAAAAAAGAAGTTGAAGATCCAGGTATAACAATATTTATTATTTATTATTTTTCTTACTCCATATTATTACTTTTTAAAATTTGGTTTTTCAGCTTATAGTGATAAACGTCCATTTGCTTATTGTCAATATGAATATTGTGGAATACTAATAAATGAAGCTGAAATGATAGACAATTTGTATTGTAGCTTGGTATGTAAAAAGTTAGATACCAAACTAAAGTTAGCTACAGAAAAGCCTGTTACCATACCAGAACCACCAGAAGAAACACAAAAAAAACCAGTAATTGATCGAAAAATGCTCTTAGCTAAATTAAAAAGTAGAATTAATAAAAGAAAGCAAAGTTTACCATCATTCCAAAAAGAAAATGAAGCTCATCAAACCGATTTAAATAAAAATGACAAGCTTGATAATGAGACCTGCCAGATGCCAGCACCAATACCAATAACTGTAAAACAATCTTTTGAAAAATCACAAAATAAAAGAAAATCTTCAAGATCAAATGAATCTACATCAATTGTACGTATAATTACTTTTAATTACATTAGGAAATTAAAATTTTTAATTAGTGGTACAAGTTTTTTTTATATTTTTTCAGGGTAAATTAGAAAATGCAAAAATATTGAGCTATTTGGAACATACTGATTACATACCTGCTCCAAAAAAATTGTTTGATAATCCTTTTCCATATGAATGTAATCCTTTTAAAGTTGGACAAAGATTAGAAGGTATCGACCCAGAACATGAAGCATTATTTTGTGTAATGACTGTAGTAGAAGTTGTTGGTAATAATCAATTTAACTAATATTCATCCAAGTTGTATTTAAAATTTACTAAATTTTATTTAATTTTCACTAGGATATCGTATTAAGCTACATTTTGATGGCTACTCGGATATACATGATTTTTGGACAAATGCAAATTGTCCCGATTTGTTTTATCCTAGATGGTGTGAACAAAACTCTCGCATTTTACAACCACCTAAAAATTACAAACTTCAATTCAATTGGACCGATTACCTTAGAATGCCCGGTGTTATGCCTGCTCCAAAATGGAATTTTCCAAGTGCAATATATATTGTTGTAAGTCGAACAATTTTATTTTTATATGAATATTTTATACATTTATTCAATTTGTTACCAGAAACCTTCCACAATAAATTAAGTCATTTCTATTAAACTAATCATACTTTTTATATTTTTATTATTTTTATATGAATATTTTACATACTTAATTCTTTTTATATGAACTATATTTCATTATATTCTATAAGTAGTACATTTATAGACATGGATATTTAATATGAAATCATTTTTATACTTAGAATCGTAATATAGAACACTTATTTCGTGTTGGGGCTAAATTAGAAGCTTTAGATAAATTAACCCGTACACTACCAAAACAGCTTATATGTGTTGCTACTGTTGCTGATATATTGGGAAATCGTATACGTATTCATTTTGATGGTTGGACAGATGATTTTGATTATTGGGTGGATATCACATCAACTAATATACATCCAGTTGGATGGTGTGACAAAAATGGTCGAACTTTATGCCCACCTAGTGGTTACGATAGTAAATATTTATTTATTTATTTTTACATTTTTACTCTGATAATTAATACTGTAATTTATTTAGATTGTAAAGGGAAAAAACCTTTTTCTTGGCCTGTGTACTTACAAGAAACTAATAGTGAACCTGTGCCAGAAGATGCATTTGTTCGTAGACCATTACGAGAATTTACCAATAGCATGGCAATTGAAGTAGTTGATATTGCTAATCCTTCATTAATAAGAATTGCTAAAGTAGTAGATGTTAAAGGAGATGAACTTAAAATACTTTATGATGGATTTGATTCCATCTATGCATACTGGATTGAAGACGATAGTCCAAATATTCATCCACTTGGATGGTGTTTAAAAACTAACCATCCAATTGAATTATTTAAAGGTAAACGTTATACATTTAWATATACCAATTAATTCACACAAATTAAATTATCTATCATTTTACGGTGAATAAAAAATTGCATTATGCAATTTTATTCCTCTGCTATACAATGTACCTCATCATTAAAATTAGGGTACTCAAATAAATGTGTTAAATTTCAAATAATTTTGTATGGTAAACTATGAAAAGTTTGTTAAAGTCTGTGTGAAGAATGATAGTTTAATTTTTTAGTGACTAAGGTTACCAAAAAATTATTTAAATAATAATATCAAAATTTTAACAAATAATATTTGTAGAACAGTTTCTACATTTGACCCACCACATTAGATCAAACCTACTACATGAAATCTCTCTCCAAGTTGATGTAAAACATTTTTTTCTAAAAAAAGATTCTTCAGACAAAATAAATTTAAAAAAAAAAAAAATACTTTTTAATATTTTTTAATATTTTATATATAACATTCAAAATCTTAAATGTGCCATGTATACATTTTTGATAAGTTTTTATTTTAATGTAACTATTTTTAGTAATATAAATCCATCTTGAATTTGATAATTATCAATTAGTCATATTTTTATTCAAGATTTGACTTTTGAATCAACTTAACATCAATATTTAAAAACTTATAAAATTCTAATTTTATTTAAAATTGTATACAAATTAGAAAGTGTTAATTAAATTAATGCAAAATGTTTTCCTTYATTCTGTATATTAATTAATACAGAAATAAAACACTTAACTTAATAGCAGTAAACTAGTGCACATTCCATTAAATTGTACTAAATTGCATTTCTAAACTCRGTAAATCAGGAAACATGATTTTTTTACTCAATCAACGTTTATAAGACAAGGAGAAAGAAAAAAAACATTTTGAAGTTTCTTAGGTCAAACCACATTTAATATTTATTTGTTAAAACTTAAATTTTTTCTGCTTATTTGTGACTTGTGCCAACTGAACATTACATACATCATAAAGAAAACATTAAATGTAAACATTTTATTGATATTGATCTTAAAATTATTAATACCAATAATTTTAATATGCCATAAAAACCAAAATAAGAATAATAAATTAATATAATAATGTCGTGTCTTGYGAAAGAATAATACAGTAGAACCCCTCTCGTACGCCCTCGGCTAATCCGCCGCTCCGGTTGATCTGACCATAGTATTATTGATATGAATACTGTGTATGTAATTTAAAAAGTACAATTTGSATTTTCCAATTTTTAAAAGATATATACAATTAATTGCTAGTTTAATATTTCCCTTATTAGTCTTAGCTAAGTCTAAAATGTCATTTGCTAAACAAAAATCTATAATTAGTTTTTTTTTAAGTATTGTAAAATATAATAAATTTCTAATATAATCTTGTATGTAATATATAAATAAAAATGTTCTGTATATTCTGATAATCCGACCTTTTTCGAGTTCCAACCACACCCCCAGTCCCGGAGGTGACGGATTAGAGAGGTTCTACTGTAATTAAAAAATGTAAAAACAGTAATTTGGGTAGGTGCAYTATATGTCTATATKCCACAGTGAGTAAGTTATAATTAATTAAGAAATAAACTTGGCATTCATAGATAGAAAAATTAACTCTTCAGCATGTTCTGAAGACAATGAGGATCGGTGATTAGTAATGACATTACCAGCACAACTACGCGGTTTTTACGGTATACCATTTATTTGGTATTTAGGGTTTACCATTTATTCGGTTTTCAAAGGTACACCTATTATTCGATTTTTACGGTATACCGGAAATACCTTCAGCCCTATAAAAACCATACTATTTTTGATCCCTCGGCAGCAATTGCCATTAGTTTAACTTTTTTTATATATTAAAATGGTTTAAGATAGGAAGTATTWATACTTCTTTGGGTGTGRTATACTTCATAACCCAACATGTTAATATTTAATAGATTCTGAAAATAATTATATGTATTGATGTTAAAACAAAAGAAACAAATTAATTTTTACTCAATTATTTTTAATAAACAACCTTTGACACGATTGCCTGTTWACCATTTAAAAAATGACATACATTTACATACATTACTAAAAAGTTTCACAATCTTCAAGTTCCCGTCTTCCAACTTATTTGTATACAAAATAAAATTGTGTTGTATTATTTAACAATACAATTAATTAATAATTTGTGTATTTATTTTTAGTAAACGCAATACTTTGGAGTTGCAGAGTTCCTGGTTGTAATGGTAAAGGCAATACAAATAGTTCCAAAACTACTCATGTATTTGCCAAAGATTGTCCATATGAATTTGAGTCTTGGAAAAAATCAATCTCTGGGTTGACAGATATTCCTGATAGATTAAAACCTGTTGAAATTCCAATTTCAGTTGCTAGGTAATTAAAAAAAAAATTTATGTACCTATGTATTTACCTCATACATGTATGATTTATTGTTTAATATAAATTTAAATGTATGTTAAGTTGTTCAAAATCTGCAAGTATTGCACCTCAAGAGAATAAGAAAAAACAAAAATCTAAGTTAAATAAAACAAAAAGTTATAACATAAACAAACCTAAAAAAAGAACCAATAACAAGTAATATACCCGTTAATAAATATATCAAGAAAATATTGAAACATTTAATGTTTGATATAGGTTGAAAAATAATTTTAAAAAGAAGATACCAAGTGGTCGTTCTAAAACTGTTTATTCAAGAGCTGTTGAGGCAAAGAATGAATTAGAAAATATTAAGGGCGTTAATGATTATACGAGCTATGGTTATGGCTCTTTTAAACTCCCAAGACTTAATGTATGGAACAGGCATTATGTTCTTCGAGGTATACCAATATTTAGTATTTCTGATGTGAGAAAATGGACTGTCAAAGAAGTAGCTACTTTTGTTGAAAGAGTAGTATCTAATAATTACACAGACGATAATCCCTCTGAACGAATAARACTTTCTAAACCTTTTCTAAATCAGGTATCAATATTTTATTTTTATTTTTATCTCATAATAAATAATATTTATATTAATTACTTAATGTATTGCTTTTATATAAAGGAGATTGATGGTGAGGTATTTTTAATGTTAACTCAAAAAGATTTGACAAGTATATTAAACATTCCTCTTGGACCAGCATTAAAATTGCACAACGCCATTGTAGTGTTAAGACAAAAAATTTCTGCATTTGATGTTGCAAATGGACTGTTGTAAACCAAAAAATAAGTTGTACTAATTTTATTTCATTTCTCATTTTGTATTTTATTACTTTTTTAATTTAAAAATGTTTAGTATTGCGCATTTTAATTTTAAAATGTTAAGCATTGTATTGTATTGTGCATTTTAATTTGATACCTTTTTCTTTTTAAGAGTTTATGTGTTCCTCACGGTTAATAATAGTAACTATAGTATTTTTATGTTGTATAAAATATGTATATGAATATTACAAAATAAAAACTTWAGTAAATTTTTAGGTACAGAATTCATAATATGTATTTACTTAATGTATTTTCATTTACAATGATTTATTAAACAATATGTTAACTTTGGAAAAAATTTTTTTTGCATAATTTTATGATATAATATCATATCTAATTATTAAAACGTATGATGACTGTAATTCATCATTTTGTCAATGTTAATGTTGTAAAGCATTAAATAATAAATTGATCATTAGTTACAACTTAATKTTTTATGAAAAATTTATAAATTGTTCTAAAAGGTTTGAATTTATTTGTTTTTGCTTAATCCTTTTTCCAACTGATTAACTTTAATGCATTCAATCTTTTGGATTAAATTTGTTTTATAATTTTAGCCAAAGCTAAGCAAGTTAATTTAAATTTAACTCCTTCAAGTTTTTTTTCAATTGAGTAAATAAATAAATAAATAGACATTTTAGGTGTCATAACTTAAATTAATTATTTAGATTGTAATTTAATACACTTGATTAACTATTACTGTAATAGTTATTAAATATTATTACCAAAATTTTAAACTGAATATTTATTTAAATTATTTAAATACATATTTATGTAAATACATTTTATTATTATTTATTACTCTTGAAAAAAAAAACATTTATTTTAATTTTGTTCAATAGTTAATCAATAACTATTTATTAAAAATTTGTATTTAATGGTATTAAAACATTTTCAAGTCAAAATTATTTTTAAGTTTTATTTTTTGACATCAAATTTGGTGGWGTTTTGTTAAAAATTACCCTTAATTTTAATTCACACCCGAATGTGTTGTTTCTATCTTTCATAACAAATTTTACGCTCAGCATTCACATATAACTCCGTTAGTTTAAAATTTAGAATGAATTGATCTCTCATAAAAAACTAAAAATAACATTATAATCTAGTTTATCACATGAGCTTTTTATTATATTTTAGATTCTAAGCGGAGCGATGAATGTATTGATTTTACCATGATGTGTGTGTGTTTTTTTTT